CGAGCGTCTCATGAGTGTGAGGTCGTTTGGTGTTGGAAGCATCCCAGACACAGTGATGGGATCAGGGCGCAGCTTGACGTCGCCCCCCAAAGTGTTGCCCTGCGGTCTGGTGACGAGCGTCTCATGAGTGTGAGGTCGTTTGGTGTTGGAAGCATCCCAGACACAGTGATGGGATCAGGGCGCAGCTTGACGTCCGCCCCCCAAAGTGTTGCCCTGCGGTCTGGTGACGAGCGTCTCATGAGTGTGATGTGTTTTGAGGGATTTTCTCCATGTGATCCGGAGATGGATGATTGGTGCTCGCCATCACGTAAGGCAGAGTGGCGTGACGCGGTAGTGGATGAAGTGTTGGATCGAGTGACTGAGATGGATGAGTGGTGTTGGCCCCCTCGTCAAGCTGCATCTAAGCGGTATCTTGATGCTGGGATAATGGATTCGGGCGAGGGAGTTGTCGGTGGGAGTGGGTTATGTAACCGTCCTCGAGTTGTGCATCCGTTATCGTGCAGTGCCGTGGGCCCAGCTTTATTAAATTCTTATTCTCCCGTGTTTCGGCCGAGTAGTACGTCGGTGCGTAAGACGATGTTGTTGAATGGAGGAAAGAAGTTGTCGTTGCCAGTTTTACAAGCTTCGGATTGGTCTTTCCCGAAGACCCCGCTGTTTGCAGGTGCGGGGAACCCCCAAGAGCGATGGTTGAATGTGCCGTCAGCGTTACCGATGGACAGAAGCTCTTGGAAGATTTCGCAAAAGGCGACAATTGGCATGTCGGGTCAGGAATCCCAACATGCCCTTCCAGTGGTGGAGGACCTTGATTTGTTAAAGGGATTGCCGAATGGACAGCTGGAGGAAGTGGAGCGGGATATGATGCCAAGCGTGATAGGGAGCGAGGGAAATGCCTGTACGAATAGCAATGCATCGCGCAGCTACCTGGGAGTTGAGGACACAAAGGAATCATCGCTTATGCAGCAGAGTAGTGAAGTCTCGGAAGGAGGGAAGGAGGCCGATGCGATGAACGTCAGGAATGGATTGGAGAAGCTGGCTGTATCCGCTAGAGTTGAAGATGAGGTGGTGTTAATGGACTACGGAGATGGTCCGTGGAGTGTGCAAGAGAGCCCTTATTCGTTGGAAATTTTTGAGGTGTCTGTGCCTGATATGTCGGCGGAGTCGGGTGCTGATATTTGGTTCGAAAGTACGAACCGGAGCATGTTTTTGAAGTTGTTGCGGGATCTTGAGGAGGCAGACCGAATAATTCATAAACCGGCGAAGTTGCTACGAGAGCTAAGGGAAATTGAGGAATGTCGTTATTGGAATCGGGCTTAGAAGTATGCATGAGTTTGTTGTAGGGTTTAACAAGGTTTTTAACCCTTTCTAGCGTATGTGGCTGTGTGGTTGAGGGGTTTAATGTGTTCGGGGAGGGGTGCTCAAAGTGAATTTTACTAGTACTGTAGTTTTGCGTAATTAAATTTAGTTTTTTTTTTTTGTTTTGGTTTTTCTTATTATAGTTTTTGCATTGAATATCTGGGCTTCTTTCAATGCGTTTAAATTGGATCAGACTTCATAGTGTTGTTTGTGTGAGATGTCTGTGTGTTTTTATATGCGATGCAAAAGTTTGGGCTGAAGGGAGTGGCATCTGCGGGCACCTTCTGAATTTTATATACTCAAGCAACGATGCAAAGACATAAGACAGAGTTGTGCTTTTTGTTTATGTGTTTTTCCCCTGCCCGTTGTTTTACTTATATTCCCATTCTCTCTGTGGTTAGTTGGAAAACGCCTTAAGTTTCTTGCTGCGGAAGGATGAGCAATGCACTTATGCGTCATGCTTCTACGTGTACATCTTTGACTATTATTACTATTATTACCATTATTTTGTGTTTTGTTTTTATGGGGTGGGGGGAGTGTCTTCTTCATTGTGTCTGCTCTTTACGCCTCATCCTCACTGTGTACCGTGTGTCTGCTCTTTACGCCTCACCCTCACTGTGTACCGTGTGTCTGCTCTTTACGCCTCACCCTCACTGTGTACCGTGTGTCTGCAGATGAGTGACATGGAATATATGCTTGAATATTTGTAGATTTATCACCTCTCGTATATACGTGTGGATACTCACGCGATGA